TAGTATTGAAATCCGGTTACTTACTTACTAATTAGGCTTCAGTCATTCCCCTGGATTACAACTGTTGATACTGCAGTCTGGTCATGCAACTTGTAGATTCCGATTTTATCTTCCTTTTTATTCCACATGTTTTAAATAGAAAGTAGGACTTCAGGGTTTAAAGTTGTAGTATTTGTGGTATTGTTTTTTTACCGGTTGTGGATGCTTTTCCAAGGCCATACGTTTTACCTTTTCCGGCTTTAGTGTCTGTTAGTAAGCTAGGCAAGTTTAAGGGTTGCCTCGTCAAAGAATGTCAGCTAAACCTCCTGTATTGTTTATGTTATTATTATTCCCTAGGGTTCCGAGTAGAACATACGGCTGGCTGGAGATTTCCAAATTAGTTTCAGATTGATGAAGACGTATCTTGCATTTCCGATTCTGGCTTTCACATTTTCATTGTTCCTACCTGCAGCTTAAATGATGCAAACTGCCAATGAATTACAGATGTATTCACCTAATATATAACATTTCTTAAGTTTCTTATTATCGTAGGGAAATAAACATATATTATACTGCTAGATAAAAATAGTCACAAATCCCCCGTGCTGACAAATAGCAACCAATAGCCAGACCGGAACGATCTAAGAATATACTGGACAGATATTTATCTGGGTATATTTTCCCCCACAGAATATCAATTTTTCCAGCGGATGAATAATCAGCCTCTATCTTGGAATAGAGCTATTGTTATAATATAGCTTAGAGCTGATATTAGTACATAAAAACAAATTGAAAATGTGAATTTTTCGCTTCATCTGAAGCCTGACTCACTCGAATTTATTATAAATCTAATAGCTAATTAATGAGAAAATAAAACAAAAACAATTTGTTTACAAAATAACAAAATGTTTTGAAAGGAATAGTACTCTGACGGATGAACTTCAGGGTGATAGGAAACATTCAGTGGGATTTCACATGGAGGTGTATATTTACTGATCAATAAAAATGACCTATAATATTCCAATCAAAACAAATTTATCTCATAATGTCTTTCATATATGAACTTGAGTAGAATCATTAATAATCATGGCATGAGTTCAACTAGGGTCCAGTGGTGTAAAATCAATACTATTCTGTTGAGATCAAGTTATAACTTATCTTAATTGAGGGATACACATATTTGTTAGCTGGTTGAAGGTAATTTAGTAGAAAACCCCGGGATTAAAGTTTTGTAATTTTTCTGGCTGTCATGATCAAAAGGTAAATTTAAGATTGATAAAAGATATCTATTTTAAAGATTGTAATCCACGTTAACCAACAGTGTAGAGAAGCATTACATGGTTGGAGGCAATCAACAGGAAACCTAGCATTACCTAGGTTTCGTGTCAGTTGGCACTCGTCAGCAAGGAGTATCTGCAACCTTAAAAAGAAGTGTTATTATTATATTATTATTATTATCATCACTTCCTTTAATTCTTAGAGTAACACAGGGCTTCAGCCGCGCGTCTCCATTGAGTTCGGTTCTCTGCCAACGTTTTCACCTGGCTCCAAGTCTGCCCACATGTTTTCATCTCCTTTTCACATGACCTCCTCCAAGTCACTCTCACAATGACGACCAACTCGCCGCTTCCATTTCGAGTTCCACTCGAGCGATGGCTTGTCTAGTGATGTCACTTGATGGTTTGTTTCTTCAGAGTATGGCCAATCCATCTCCATTTCTTCCTATTTATTTGTTTCACAATCGGTTCTCGGTTGGTTTGCTGCCAGAGATCCCTCCCTGTTGCTGATCTTTTCTGGCCGGCCATCTAATCTTGAGTACTGAGCAAAGACAGCTAGCTTTTGATGAAGGTTTGTAGTTTGTTTGAGATGGTCTTTATGACGCGGTAAGTCTCTGATCCGTATATTAAGTAGCACTGATTTCACATTGGAACTGAAAATCCGGATCTTATTTTTGATGTTGAGTACTGTTGACCCCCACACAGACTTGAGAGTAATGAGAGAGTAGTGAAAGCTTTTCTTGCTTTTCCGGTCCTTGCTTTGATATCCTCGTCAGTTCCGCCTGTAGTTGAAACGATACTTCCCAGGTAGGTAAAGGAGGTTGTTTCTTTCAGGCTCCTCCCATTTATGCTGATTGTTGTCTGTTCTTGTTGCTGGTGTTGGTGTTGGCCAGAAATCTTCATCACCTCTGTTTTATCTATGTTCACATGAAGTCCTATCTTCTCCAGATGCTTCTTCTGACAGCTTGATGCTTTTCACTGGCATATCTTCTAGTTTGTGGGAAATCAGACATATATCATCGGCGAAATCCAGATCCTCCAAGTCTTTTGTGTGAGTCCATTTTATGCGTGTTCCCTCGTTGGTTCCCGTTGTCTGTCGCATTATCCAATCAATTGCAATCAGGAAGATCATTGGTGATAGTAGACAGCCTTGTCTCACTCCCGTCCTCACTTCGAAGGCTTCCGTAAGTTTCCCGTTGTGGATTACTTGGCATGCAGCATTGTCGTATAACTGTTGGATGAGATGTATAATTGTCGATGGGACCCCGTAGTAGCGAAGTAGTTGCCAAGTGACCTCTCGATCAACGCTGTCGAAGGCCTTTTCAAAGTCGATGAAGTTGAGATAGAGAGGTGACTGCCATTCCAATCTTTGTTCAATGATTATCCGTAGAGTGGCTGTTTGATCAATACATGATTTGTTTCTCCTGAATCCGGCCTGTTCCGGACGAAGTTTTTCATCTAGGGGTTGTTTGATTCTCTCCAGGATGATGCGGCTTGGTATTTTGCTTGGGATGGACAGGAGCATAATTCTTCGCCAGTTGTTGCATTGACTTAAGTCTTCTTTCTTTGGTAGTTTGAATAAGTATCCTTTCTTCAAATCCTCAGGTACTTTGCCTTCTTTCCACATCTTCTCCAGAGAACCTATAACTTCCCTTATGAAGGAAGCAGATATCACATTATCTATTCCTTAGATGACAGATGGAAATTTATAAGCCAAGTTTGGAATGAGGTTATCTAACTGAAATGACTGTTGCTTTGATACAGTTAAGATTAATTCTAGACCATTACACTGTAAGCTAACTGCGTGGTATTGAGTTAAGACTTAAGATTGGATAACATAAATTTTGCTCAGTCAGAATACATAAGAATTTCTTACTAATGGCATAGAAAGCACTTTATAATAGAAATAATTAGTGAAATACTTGAAATGTTCTCAGCTTAAATTTCTCTTAAACACATCTCCCTTCTTTGAAAAAGAGGTTTCCACCAGATACTATTTTGTCATGTGCACACAACTAGGAATTTATTCACTTATGGTTCTAGCTTCCATTGATAGAGAGGTATTTTGATGTGATTGCATTCTGTAAGCTGGATAGTTTGATTGAGAGGATTCTATTATCTTTCTGAAGAACATTTTCACCTCAGACTTCGGTGTAGAGGTGTAGCTATTATGTTTTACAGCGATGAAGTTTACAGTAGATTCATGCAAAAAGACATGAAAAAGGATTGAATGTATAGTTGAATTGTAATTGGGCATCATTCCATTGTCTGAGTACTAACTTGCCTCTGCCTACGTTATATCACCTAAAGGGCTTTTTATTCAGTAAAGCTGTAGTTGGGCACTGTTAAAGACTCACAAATAAGAAGGTAATAACACTTCCAAGTGTTAAACTTATGGAAATTTTGCTCACTTCAAGACCCAAAATTAGTTAGAAGGCCATCGAAAACCCTGGAGAAACAGACAGTTGTTTCATACTATTTGGTGAGTTATCAGTAGCACGTACATAAGACCCTATCAGACATCAAAGTGTGCATTCAGAATCCAGTGGTCCATGAGTACTTACTTCCAGTACATCGGAAAGTATTCGTCCTCAAACCTGACTTAATGGACACAATCAGACAACATTTTTTAGTTAAGCTTGAAGAAGTCCTCCTTGTATGATTTATTTACTGGCGAATCGTCGATACTTCCTGCTTTCAAGTAGTTCCTTAAATTATGTTAGTTCGTGACAAAATATACCTTAAAATATAGTGAATGTCTAATCCAGCCTAATTGTTAAGTAATTTTCATGTTCGAATCCGTTGAGAAATCATGTAAAATGCCACGAAAGTAATACGCGAAATTGTTAATTATGTTTGAAATCATTTTCATACTCTAAGAAAAGGTGAATTCTGTCAGAATTTCATAGACCCTACAGTGAAGTGTACGTCATTATCTTCTATTTTGAATATTTAGGGTTGGTGGCAAAGATTTCATCCTTTATCCTGAAGATGTTCTAATGACATCTCTAAGCCTGTGTCACAAAGTCAACATTCATTTATTCGAAGCTAGAACACATGGATTATAACGCACTAGTCTCATGACCTCAACATCATAGCTTCGACTCATGGTGGTTGTCATAGGTGCACAGTGCTGAAGAGCGTCAAACTTGCATGAAATAGATTATCAGTTTTTCATTGATGTTAGCTTGATTTGATATCTAACTTGTAAACAAGCATTTAATTCTAATCAGTTGAGAAATCTATTATTTATCTTGAGTTAAACACAATCCTTGAGGGAAAGACTTCCTTGAGTCATGAGGATTGTAGTTTGAACAAAATATACTTAGAAGTTGAAGGATGTCACTGTTTACATAAAGTACACTGTATAAAAAGCGCAAATTGTTATCCTTGGTCTGCTTAGACCAAAGAAAAATCAAAACACCTGACTGATCGTTCAAAATGCGTGACATATTTCAGGATCAGAACGGTACTGCGACGATGATTGCTTTACAAGTTAGGGATAGTGCGCAAACGACCAAACATGATACGACAGCGTACCAAATGGTATGGATGCTTCACTGAGAACCTTCAGTTTAACAGGTTGACATAAACGGTGGAGTAAGCATTCAATGTTGAGTGAAGAATGGGGAATTATTTATTGCGACAAATAAATTGAAGGTATTACTACTTTTTATCCTACCTGAAAATGGTTTTTATGAATGGAAATGCAAAACAAAATAGAAGATATTGAAATGAACTTACGGTAGCGTCATTCATTTTTGATGCTAATTTATGTAATTCAACAATTTGTGTACTGACATATAATTCTTTATCAATTGCTAGATCAATTGCTTCATGAATATTCTTGAAGTCCATCGGAACACCATCTGACGGAAGCTAAATTGTGAAAAGGTTAAATAAAACATGAAGAAAAGAAAGGGATAGTTACGTCATAGAGGTTGTTTACGGTAAATACAGAAATGATACATTGAAGCTTACAGCTATTTGTCACCGAATAATATATTGACGAACACAACTCTCATTTATAGTGCTGTAGTTCTACTACCTGTGTATTTTTAGGTAATATGGCATCAATACTCACACCTAAAATGTGGCCCGCTTAAAACTTGGACTACCAAAAACCTCTATCATTATATAATGCATATAATTTATCATGTTCACACTATGGTTATTTAAAATGTCTACAACCTGTTGATTTACAAGTTTCTACTAAACTTCAGAAGAAGCCTAATCGCTGATGTCAACATATCTCTCAGTACATGAAATAACCGCTCCTGAGTTATATCCTTGGGTCTCACAAATGTACTCCTGAACATTTTATATTTGGCTATCAACCAAATATTGTGTATTTCTCAGAGATACAGAAGAAGTATCATAATGGGTTAGTTTACTCTTCACTTCAGACAGCATTATGCCACACGATCTACTCTCAATTTTATATATTTTTTCAAGATCCTGGACTAAGAGATAAAATATCATACAATAAGCTCCGCTGAAAATTCTGTATATCATATAAACACTTCACAAAACAAAGCCATTATATATTTATTATTATTGTTCTCTTGGATTCCTAGTGGAACACATCTCCACTTGCTTCTGTCCTCTGCTGTACTTTTCACCTGCATCCATGTTAGTCCATACTGTTTCAACTCCTCTTCATACGATCTCCTCCACTTCACCCTTGGACGTCCCACTCGCCGCTTCCCTTTCGGGTTCCACTAGAGCACTGGCCTGACGCACGATGTCACCCAGCGTCCTCCTCAGCGAGTGTTCAATCCATCTCCAGTTTCTCCTGCATATTTGTAGGGAGATTGGTTCTTATTTTGTTTGTTCCCATAGTTTCTTGTTGGTGATTCTTTCCGGCCCGGCCATCTGATCTTCAGTACAGAGTGAAGACAGTTGTTGATGAAGGTCGGCAACAGGCTGTCGGAAATATTCTTTGTGACCCGCCAAGTTTCTGATCCGTATAAAGCCATTACTACCGTTATTATCAACTCATCTCTGACAACTAACTATCTTATGTAACTAAGTAGGTGTTCTTTTAATATATGACTAGAATGATGTATTTCTTTCTCAGACAAGCCACTTTTATTTTATAAATTCCATGACAGAACGCAAAAAATAAAGTACATAGGCAGAAAGTGATATTAATATCACAAATCATGACTATAATTAACTGCAGAAGAAGAATAGGGTAATATTCAGAATTTTGACGTGTTACAGGATAATAGACAGATCACTGTAAACATGTACAATTTCGCCTTTCCATCTTTGGAAACATCAAAAGAAAAGTCAATCTAAGTTATCTGAGAATTATGAGAACAAAAACAAAACTAACATTAGAGTATAGTTTCTGTAATAATGTAAGCCTCTTTAATCCATGCTGCTTATATGTTTGAGATACTGAGTAGTCATTGGTACTTATATTATATTCAATAGACAATTTACAAAAGGAGACATGGGGAAGATAAATTACCATAACCACAGTCAGTGCCTCCAAAGGCTGACCTTCAGGAACCAAACAGATTTAGTGAACGCTACAAACGGTCATTCCAAATCAGATCACTCCCGCCATTATGGATTTGGTGAGAGTAGGTACAGTATTCTACTTATTCAGGATGTACTTTCATCGTAAATGTATACTGATAAGTAGAGTTAAGTTTTTTAGGTTTAAGGTTAGGGTCACGATATACGGTTACGGTTAGGATAGGGATTTATGCTTAAAGGTTAGTCATAGAACGGATACCAAAGTACTATGATCTACAGTCACCTGGATCTATACACCTATCGGTCATTTTATGATTTCCCAATGGATTAACATTTTAGTAACTGTGAGACATGTTTACAACACATAAGACATAAGTATCCAGGGTAACAACATGTTTACGGTGTTTTTAAATACATTTTAAACTATTTTTTTTATTGCAGCTTGATTCCACACTGTATTTTTTGGTCCAGGTATGGAATTTTCAGCATGTGATATTGGTAGCCCAAATTTTGCAGGCCGACCATGGATATCAGGTGTACGTTGGCAGGGGATCGAACCTCGGACCATGTGTATGGTCGGCGAGAGTCCTAACCGTTTAACCACCGACGCACCAACGTGTCTGGATTCTGAATGTTTGCTCAAGGTTACTTCGATTTTGTCTTTGATAGCTTAACGCCACCGGTGAAATTATAGGATGGTGCTGTGTATTTGTTGTAAAATCTAGTGTAATACATTGAGGGTGAGAGACGGTTCCTTTACCGTGTATGAAACAGGCTTTAATCCACTCAGTCGACTAGTTTACCACTTGGACTATTACTGTATGTCTAACCTCAACAGTAATTTCTCCGTAGACATCATTCGCCACGTTTATAGAGTGAAATTCTCTAAACTGCAGTCTAGCATACTAGTCTTTAGAAAAAGGGTCAGCGATTGCACTGCATACATTAATACACAACCACACAATAGGGTGGGAGGGGGTTAAAATTCTAGAAAGTAATATAAGTAGGTGCAGAGAGATATTGACTACTGAATCCTGGTTCATCGAATAATCTACACCCAACACATGGAACAGAAATGATTCAATGCAAATACCAGAGACATGGAAGATATTATTACTACCAGTCAGTCAAATCACAGGAGGATAATAAATAATCTTCAAGTTCTATTTCAATTCACGTACACTATAACATTCTAACAAGTTATTTATTTTACTATAAAAGACTTCTTATTTCCCATCTGATTGTATTTGATTGAAAACACTTATATTATTTCTGAACTTATTTTATCTGAGATTCAATTTATTAAAATATCTAATCAAATTAACTCATGTATCTAAATGAACCAAACAAGTTGTGTGAGTGACTTCATATGATTATGAAAAATAATTTGTGCTCAAAACGTTATCAGTTAATACTACTGTACAACAATGTGCAATTTCAAGTATTGGTTTGTAGGGATTTGGTTGATTGGTTACAGGATTTCATTATGAGCTGGCATTGGCTAGAGAACCATTGGAAAACCATTGAATATCAATGAGATGTTCACTGGCGACTGGCCCTATTCAGGTAGGTAGTTACCTGGGGTTCCAGTGGGAAGTCGCGACCAGTAAGGTGCAGCAGGTCGAGTGTGAGGACAAATACTCGCCGAAGACATTGGCTACCATTTGCGCTATATCGTTAATTGGAAGAAGTTAGAATGCATGGGCTGACCATTGGATCGGTTCCCGATGGCTTAATGTTCTGCGAGCTCACCTTGTAACCAGAAGGTCCAGGGTTTGAACTTCGGTGGGTGCGTGCTGTGAAGAGTCCCAAGCTAGGACGAAACAGCTGTCCAGCACTCCCTGGCATGTTTTCCAATGGTTCTCTAACTGATATCAGCTCATGATGAAATCCTGTAACCAATGTGTAATTTATCAAAATTAAATCTTATGCATAATGGAGTTATGCTCTACCACAGTGCCCAAGTTTTGTACGTATATCAATAGTCTTTAGTATGTTTTGATGATAACGCAGATCGATTCAGTTTGCTAGAGATACCCAAAAGCTTAATCCACAAACAATTTATTTAGTTTGAGGTAACTTTCCAAATATATCCAGTCATACAGGTGACTAAGAGCCCATCTTTTTGTCGTTATATTGATATCTGGTGTCGATTTATCTTACATAATAACAGGAATTGTTGTAGTATAGTTTAATTTTCATATCTGCTGACAGTAAGAAACGAAGGATAATCAATTGATGAGGAAGATATAAAGAATGATTCACTGTCAAATTTAATATTCTATTTTATGTTCTATGCTTTTAATTAGCAAAGTTTGTTGCCCTGGTCAACTAAACGAAAATGATTATTACTTAAGACAAAACTTTCATAGTATTGAGTTCCATGAATTTTATTGATTCCAACGCTTTCAACGTTTCTGTAGCTCATGTTATTTTCTTATAATGTTGGTCCGCAGAGATTTCATTGGTTGACATCAGGGAGGTCTAGACATTCATTTTGTCCTAGCTGGTAACTCTTCAGCTCACTAGTAACTGACTACAGAATGGAGTTGCCGGCATTTTAAATGAAAAGTCAAGTTGGATCGACCACGTCGTGGTGTATGGATAAATACTAGCCAAATATGTGAACTGACGCTAGAAGTCAAAATATGATGGTATAAGTTAGAATATTTGATCTACTGGATTCCGTCCCACTGTTTAAGTGACCAGCAGGTTCGTCTCGTGACAGGAAGGTTAGGCGTTCAATTCCCTACATCTTTATCGATATCTGTTATTGAAGAGTCTCAGTCAAGGATAAAAGAGCCACCCAGTACACCCTGGAATTCATAATCTAAATCGATATCTACCTGGAAATCAAGTATTCTTCTGCACAGATAACTAGCCTATTAAAAATTAATTTTTCTGAAATATTAATCAAAAACTACTTCTCCTATAAAGTGCCATATTAAAAAGTAGAATTAGAGAAGCGAGAGAATAAAAATTAGATTGGTTTGTTGTAAATGAATGCTTAATTTTGAGATTTGGGGGGGGAGATAGGTGAAATAATAACCTCATTCTCTCTAGCTATTGATATTAAATACCCTTAGTTTGGTGAACAATTGAACTTGTCTTGATGCTATAAAATATGTTTGGACTTGTGAATAGTTACGGAGAAGAGGAAATTTTCAGATTTTTACAACATCGAGCTGTATGAGCTCAAATTGTCAGATCATATCAATGGAATAGGCAGAAGTTAGAATTCATGGACCATTGGATCGGGTCCCAGTGGCTTAATGGTCTAAGATATCGTCTTGTAACCAGAAGGTCCTGGGTTCGAACCCCAGCAGTGGGTGCGTGCTGCTGAAGGGTCCCCAGATGGGCTGACGAAACAGTTGTCCAGTACTCTTAGC